CAGCTAGGAAGAGGGTCTAAAGCCCACACCACAATGACATACCTACACCAACAAGGCCTTTCCTCCTATAGTTCCACTTTGTTGGCGAAGCATATACAAACTCTCATACTTGCTATACAGTTACTGTCACTGTACCAGTTGGAGATGTGGCCTTCCATACCTAACTCCTTACAAAAAATTCAAATCCAAGTGGGTCAAGGACCTCCACAAAAAATCAGATACATCGAATCTTACACAAGTAATCCAGATAACGAGCTTAGCCAATTTTCTATTGCACCATTCTCCATTTAAAATTCCACCAATTACACTTTATTTCTGATCATGAAGGAATATTCTGCAGCATGCTCTTTCCACATTGTCCAAGGCATATAGAGAGAGGGGTCATAAATGAAAACAAACCTTTACATTTATTATTTTATTATGCTAGGGATTTTTTACAGTGATATCAATCATTCTAAAGTAACACCCTACTTTCACTAACAGCAATGATTGAATGGAAAATTGTAATATAATTTGACAAAAAATATCTCAGAAAAAGAAAAGGGATCTAGTAAAAGAAATCTGAAAGGAGAAAAACAGAAATTTTCTTAATTTGATTGCAGAGTTAGCTTCTTAGGAACAGATGACTCTCCTGAAGGGAAACAATCAAGATAAAAAAACAGTTCTTGAAAAGAATTTCAGAGTAACAAGTATTAGGTATAAAGGCTCCAAGAGTTTTCCACAAAGAGAACTCAAAGGAAAACAAGGAAACAACAGAAAACTGTCACCTAGGCAGAAGACTCAATATGAATATGATAGATTATACACACCAGAGTATACCTCTTTTATCCCGAGATAGAAAAGAACTAAAGGGTGCACATATATGAGATTCAGACATACCCACATCCATCATACCAATACTCATAAACATTTTAAAAAAGAACCATATGTCTCACCTAAGAAGAGACATGTTTTGTGTGTAATATTGGCATTTAAAACAGTTATTCATATATCAAATAACAATTCATATGTTATTTATTCAAAAATAATATGTAATAACTATATACTTCATTCACATATGATTTTTCATATTATACTGTAGTGGAATATCTTCCCACTATATTTATATAAAGCTCAGTGATCTGGCTGTATGAGAGGTAGGCAAATGATGATGCAGAAGGAGAAGAAAGGGATGGAGAGGAAGAGGAGAAGAAAGAGGAGGAGCTAGAGAGGGGTGGGAAGAGATGCAGGAGCCATGGAGAACCACACATGGGTCCATGATGGTCTTGAGTAATGATTTATATTTAAGGTTAGATATTGGGAAACACCTCTAATTGGGTGGGCATCTTCTTAATTGAGCATTATCAAATATATAAAGCTATTGGATGATCTTTAAGTTTTAGAATCACATTTCTACCAGGTACTTCATAGATGGAAAGATGGTCTGAGCTCAGCCAAGCATTGTGGAGACAGCATGGTAGATTGGCAGAGCCATCTCCCACACTGGCATCTTATGGGTGCCAGGGCCGGTGCTTCTGGTCAGCCTGAGCCAAGGCAGCAATGAGAACACGCCACAACTCGTGGTCTCAGGCCTTGCCTAGTCAGGAACAAGGTGGCACCATAAGAACAAACATGATTGGGTGCTGCCAATTTAAATATTAACCTCAACATTGAATGCTGTCTCATCTATTTTATTTACTTTCTCTCCAATGTATTTTTTCACTTTTCAAAGCTCAATTTAATGAAACTATACAAGAAGTGTTCGTCAGTGTCTTAATTTTCTCAGTACAGTTAATTTTTAAAAGTTAATTCAGGTTCTGTGAGTAAATAAATAAAATGTCTGTATTGCTGGATTTTCTAGTCATGATAATATTTATTCTACAATATATGTACTTTAATTTTTAGCTTGAGAAATTTACAAGGTACTATGAATTTTTTACATCAGATTATACATGGACATATATATCCAATTATCTTTAGCAGATACATAGGGAAATATTTGGGAGCTTTAATGTCAGATATAAAAATGAAACCTACTAGAGTTTATTTTTTATGGATATTTTAATTTTTACATTTCAGATGTCACACCCTTTCACCATTATCCTTCTGTAGAAACCCCTATCCCATTCCCCCTCGTCCCTTTGACTTTTATACCATTTTAATTACATGCAAGTATTCAGGTCACTTCTAGGTTGAAGGACTATCAATACAGTAGATGCAAAGTCAAGGAACAAGCAAGACAAAAGACATAAATAGTCAAAGAAAAAGCAAGGCAATAAACAAAATTCCATGAACACTCCCATGATCACTGTTTCTAAGGGCTTATCAGGATGACCAAAATGATTTGTCTTAGCCCAAAGTCATTTTTGGTCTGAAGTCTATTTCCTTGTTTTACCACAAAATTTAGATTCCTGCCTGAATTACTTCTTTGTTCTGGCCTAAGAATTAGATTCCTGTCTGAAATTACATCCCTGTTCTGGCCTAAGATTTAGATTCCTGCCTGAAATTATTTGTTTGTTCTAGTCTAAAGTCAAATTCCTGCCTGGGGCCTACTTCCTCATCCTTGGCCAATGTTATATTCCTGCCAAGCAGCCCATTTCCTTGTCCTTGGCCAATGTCAGCTTCTTGCCAAGCAGCCCCAAAGGTTCCATGTCTTTCCCCATTTTTGATTTCATTAACAAGACTGAGCCTGTTTTAGGTCATTATGACAAGAATGCCTTCCTTAACCATCATGGAATATGTATTATCAAAAGCAATGCAATTCTGTCTTAGATTGGTAAGGCTCTGTGCAGTATATTACTCACCCTTGGCTTGCCAGCCTGTTAAATTAATAACTATGTTTGGGGGAGTCCATTTTCAGGTTCAAGCCATGTACTTTGGCTGCCAACATGTTGATGTTGTCAAAGACACGTTTTCACATCATGGGCAGGACTGAAAGTATTCCCAAGACAAAAAGGGATACCCATATATGCCAATCTTGAAGCTTAACCAAAATAGAAATACTGACCTCAGGTCATGAGTCATTTTATCAGCAGTATCTACCTAATCAAGACTCAGCAGAGCAGCATTTTTGAAATTCATAAGCTCACTATGTAAAGTTAGAACACACAGAGGTGTGTTAGAATTATGCCAAATACACTGCAAGGGTCTTTCAACTTCTTCCTAATTATAGTGACTACCACTGTAAATTTAGAACTAACATTAATCCAATGGTATAGGCATGACACTCAAGATGGCTTCTTACCCTTAAATTCTCAAATCCCTTCCAATTTTTGAATAGGATTAAGAGCATCAATCTGTTCTTTCAAATGCCTATCAAAATCCTCTTGTATATTCAACACAATAGTAATATTTTTTGATAAATCATTAACAAAAAAAGTAGCAATCTTAACTTCTTGTGTCAAAGCAATAGCAGAAGCAGTGGTGCTGGCAATTGATGTAATTGTAAGGACCCCCGAAGAGGACCCTCAACTGAAGTCCTGATCAGCGTGCACCCAAGGAGACATGAGAGACTAACTTGATGCAAATGGCAAAAGGCAGTTTACTAATGAGGACCCTCGGATCTAAACTCATCCCACACAGGGGAGAGTATCGATGAAGACCCCAGGAAGTTTAGAACTTTTATAGGGGGAGGCACAAGGGGGAAGGGAAAAGCAGGAAATTCTGGCGTGGCTACATATAATTGGATATTTCAAACATCAGCACTTTTGCGTAAGCAATCATTTAGGCGGGCTGGATGACCCACTATTGTTGACCATGAAACCTCAGACCTTCTAGGATAAACACCAGGTGGCCCATTACTCACTTGGGCATGTTTAGACTGGTCAAGACATGTCATTGGTTGCTTCTACATTTTTGGTCACCTTGACCCTAGAGGGTCTTGATATTTTTCTTATGGCTATTCTCAGCAAGCTCAGCAAGCTCAGCAAGCTGTCCAGCGGTCCTTGCCAAGTTATTTTTATTTTTTACTCTCACATAATTAAAGCTGTTATACCAGAAATAATCAAGCCCACTACCCTCTTGCTTCTGCTTAAAGCCTGATTCATTTCTGCCAGTACTTGCAGGATATTTTTAGAATACCAAGGTTCTGTGATACTAAGGACACTAAAACAAAAGCTGACTGATAGACCTCTGTAACAGACATTCTGGATTTCAAAACACAAACAAAATTAAAAGGTATGCAATCAATGAAACTTACAGTAAATACTATAGAAGAAACAAAGTAATTTTCACTTGACAATTAAACGAGCCTTTACACATGTGCTAACACATGTTTGAAACCCAAATCCTGCATCAACTTTTTCTCTTGCAAACTACATCATAGAGAACTGCAGCTAACTTCCATATATGTCTCTGAAATTGTCCAGAACCAAATTTCCAAATGAGGGCTGTTATTTCCAATATTGGATTGATTTCTAGAACAGTCCATGATTGACTCTGAATAACTGGTAACATTTAAGAACAATACAAGTGTCATTAAAAGTTCTCTTTTTGAGTCTCTGTTGCACAAGATCTAAAAACTTGAGAAAAGGCAGCTTGTCTCATCAGGGGTATAGGTAAACAATGGTGGATCAGGAACATATGTCCAATACAGATTCCTGTCTCCGTTGTCAGGACATTCAGCAAGCTCACAGGTCAGCATCATTCCTTGTCCTGGCATCAGCATGTCTCACCCATTGCTCTGGTAGATATCATGCTTCTTCAACATCCTACAATCAGGAGTGGGTTAGAGCTCCCAGGAGTCCAGCCTCCTCTGGGTTTGGGGCGACTGGGTGCAGAGCTGACTCCTTAGGGCTACTCCAGGCACAGGCACAGACCAGAAGGCTTACTATAGTTTATTAACAGTACATTTCTTTGTGTAGCAATGTCAATATTTTTTAAAGTACATTCTTCTTTAAGTCACTGGGTTCTTACTTATATATTGTTTTGTTTTCTGGTATGAGGGAGAGACTACACCTCAAAGTATGTAGACAAAAGCATAGCTTAATTTATTTTTTCTTTTGTTTTTTATTTTTTGTTGGTTATTTTATTTATGGAGGCAGTAAATGGGATGTAAGGTGAATAAGGAAAACATAATAATAATGAAGAAAGAGAAGAAAAGAAAGAGTTTTGGCGTGTGACAGGGAAGAGGATAATTCGTAATTGTGTTTTTTTAAAAATCAGTATTTCTTCATGAAATAAAAATTAAATAAAATGCAAATTAATGAACATCCTAGACAGTATGTGAGTCAATATTAAGTGAAAGAAGAAAAATGTGAACATTCAAGAAAAATACCAAATGAAGTAAATGTTATCACTCAGTCACTGCAAATCCAGAGAATATGAAATAAGTTCTATTCAAAACACCTGTCCAAAATATTATATGTCAGAAAATAAAATAAAATTTTATCAATAATTACAAAACAAAACCACAAATGAATATTAACAGAGGAAATAAAATATTCAAAACAAGCAGAAGATACTATCATAAATGTATTCTTAGCCATTTGTAACTGTGCATGTAATTGAAATTAAACATAGAAGGCAATACAGTTAGAATAGCTACACAGAATGCCAAGAACCATTTATATGTCAAAAAAGAAACACTTCATCAGAGAAAGCATGTTATAAAATTTACAGAGTCACTGGATGAACTTTACATGAAAAGCAAATGGAAGTAGGATATTTATGTAAATATATATATATATATATATGAATTTAAGTCAAAAGCAAAAAATTTGTTGAATGAAGTAATTACATATTAAAGAAGACAGTTTAACTGAAGAATATATCTTAGTTTCCCTTCTGCTTTACTGGTTAACATTGAGTGAAAAAGCACTCAAGGCCTATTGAATCCAAATGGGTTTTCCCTGGGCTTTTTTCTCATTCTTTTTTCCTTGCTTCTGGGGTGGCAACTGTTTACCATTCTCTGAGGTAGGTGCAAAATTGTTATTACTGTGGCAATGAAGCTAAAAATGAATGACCAGTGAGCTGTAGCCAGGCTGAACTTGCCCTCAGGCAGAACCAATAATCTGGAGTTCCTCAGCACATCTCTCACACATAAATGACATTTGGTAGCTAGGACACCCCAAGCATGAATGTTTTTGTCAGGATCTGCATCACTGTGGGAGGAAGATGTGTACCTTGGAAGCAGTAATAAACTCCCAAATCCTCAGGTTCCATTCTGCTGATCTTGAGTGTGAAATCTGTGCCTGACCCACTGCCACTGAACCTGTCTGGAACACCAGAAAATCGTTTGGAAATCTCATAGATGAGGAGTTGTGGAGAATGGCCTGGCTTCTGCAGGTACCATTCTAAATAGGTATATCCATCACTATCCACAAGGTTCTCACTAGACCTGCAAGAGATAGAGGATTGATCTCCAAGGCTGACAGGCAAGGAAACTGGAGTTTGTGTCATCACAACATCACCTCTGGAAGCTGAAATAATGAGAGAGAAGTACAGAGTTATGCACAAACTTCATGAACAACCTTGAAACATTTTTAATTTCAACTGTGATATTTACTTTCACATACAATTTTTTTATATCCTAAAATTTCCTTCTTACCAAAAAAAAGAGAAACACAGGCTGCAAGGTCCTTCTAGGCATAACTTAGACCATCCTATCCACCCATGTCATAATCTTTATTATATAGCACATGTTCCCTTCTGGAACTTCCCTCTAACAAATATACACACCAGAAGCCCCATGTTGGAGGATAAGACCCATCTTCTCCCACATAATATTTGTAATGAACAAGGGGATTTACAGCTCTTACTCCCTCCTCATTCTCCTTTCTCACTTCCCTCTGTCCTCACCTGGAATCCAGAACAACAGCACCAACATCCTAACTGGGAACATCATTTTGAGGAGGCAGCCTGAGGAGACTGAGCAGTCACTCCAACATGACAACTGAGCTTTTATCTCAGATTAGGAAGGGTGGGCCCTCCCGGGAGAGCAATATGCAAAGGCCCCTGATAGTGTTGCAGTATAGAAGGAAGAGCTGTACAGGCTTCTTATGGTTGTAAAAATTTTAAAAACCTCTTCTATGTTGTAGAGGGTATCAGTGCTCTCAGATGAGCACCGGAGAAACCAGGAATGTTATTCACACTGAGTTTTCTCCTTAATAGAAGAAATGTATATCTGTTCTTCACCCAGAAGGCTGAGAATGGAAGTTGTCAATAACTGCTATCAGTAGGTTAAGGGCTCACCCATATTTCCCAAAACGTTTATCCTAGAGTCTTCCTCTGTAAACCATTATCTCTATTTTCCATTTTCAGTCAATTGAACCTTAGGGGTGATGGCACATGTACTTTACAAAAAAGTTAAAATATACACATTCTTTAGGCATTATTGTGCATATACAATTGAAATAATTATTGCCGTGTATTTTTACCAAAGTTGTACTGTATTAATATATGTCTAAAATAAAGTACTTCAGTGTCAGACTCTACAAATTTGATCAAGTGTCAGACATTACACATTTGAGACAAAACCAGATAAACTCTACATCCTTTTTTATTTCATTTTTTATTGGATAATTTTTTTTTATTTTCATTTCAAACGCTATCCCTTTTCCTGGTTCCCCCTCCTGAAACCCCTAACCCATCTCCCTTCTCCTGCTTCAATTAAGGTGTTCCTCTACCCACTACTCCCGCTTCCCCACCCTAGAATTTGCCTACACTGAGGATCAAGACTTCACAGGACCAAGGACCTCCTATTGATGCCCATCAGGGCCACACTCTGCTACATATGCAGGTGGAGCCTTAGGTTTGTCAATGTGTACTCCCTGATTGGTGGTTTACTCCCTGGGAGCTATGAAGGGTTTGGTTGATTGATTTTATTGTTATTCCTATGGGGTTACAAACCCCTTCTGTTCCTTCAGTCCTTTCTCTAACTCTTCCACTGGGGAACCCATTGGGGACCCCATGCTCACTCCAATGGTTATCTGTGAGCATAGCCTCTGTATTTATCAGATTCTGGCAGAACCTCTCAGGGGACAGCTGTATCAGGCTCCTATCAGCATGCACTTCTTGGCATAGACAATAGTGCCTGTGTTTGGTGACTTTATATGAGATTATCTCCAGATGGGCCAGTCTTTGAATGGCCTTTGCTTACGTCTGTGCTCCATACTTTGTCTATGTATTTGCTCCCATGATTATTTTATTCCACTTTCTAAGAAGGACAGAAGCATCCACACATTTGTCTTCCTTCTTCTTAAGCTTCATCTAGTCTGTAAATTGTGTCTTAGGTATAAATTCAACATTCTTTTTCATCATGAATATTATTATGAACAGCCCTCCAACTATACTCATCTGATTCCTCTTCTTCCTTCTCCAAGACGATGTCCACATCCCCTTACCCCCCACCTTGCCACACTTCCCCACCCTGTAGGGCCTCAAGTCTCTCAAAGGTTATATGCTTCTTTTCTCACTGGGGCTAGACCAGGCAGTGCTCTGCTATGTATGTGTTGGGGGATTCATATCAGCAATTTTATGCTGCTTGGTTGGAGAATATGTGTCTGAGAGATCTTGGGAGTCCAGGTTAGTTGAGATTTCTGGTCTTCCTAAGGGGTCACCCTTCTCCTCAACTTCTTCCAGCCTTTCCCTAATTCAACCACAAAAGTCACCAGCTTCTGTCCATTGGTTGGGAGTAAGTATCTGTAACTGACACTTTCAGCAGCTTATTGGGCCTCTCAAACTGCATCCATGCTAAGCCCCAACCTGTAAGTGCACCATAGCATCAGTAATAGTGGTGTTAGGCCTTGTATCCTCCTGTTAAGCTGGATCCCACTTTGGGCCTGTCACTAAAACTCCTTTCCCTCAGCCTCTTCTCCATTTTTTTCCCTGCAGTTCTTGCATTGAGGAACAGTACTGGGTCAGAGTTTTTGACTTGGAATGGCAACTCTATCCCACCCCTTGATGGCCTGTCTTTCTACTAGAGATGGACTCTACATTATACCTCTCCCCACTGTTGGGCAATTGATTTAAGTCCCTCCTTTTGAGTCCTGAGCATCTCTCACCTCCCAGCTCTCTGGTACTTACTAAAGGGTCCCACCACCTCATACTTCCTGAGGTTACCTGTTTCCATTCTTTCTTCTGCCCCTAAGGGCTTCATTCCTGTCTGTCCCACAATACCCGGTCATGTTCCCCTTTTCCCCTCCCTGTGTCCACACCCAACCAAGGTCCCTCCCTCCCTCTTCACATACCCCCAAGATTGTTTTCTTCTCCTTGTCAAGTGGAATTGACACATCCTCACTTGGACCCTCCTGCTTGATAACCTTCTTGATTTCTGTGAATTGTATCCTAGATATTATGTATTTTTTAACTAATATCCACTTATTAGTGAAAACATACCATGCATGTCCCTTTGAATCTTAGTTACTTCACTCAGGATGATATTTTCTAGTTCCAGTTATTTGCCTGTAAAACTCATCATGTCCCCCTTAATAGTTGAATAGTACTCCATAGTATAAATGAACCACATATTCTGTATCCATTCTTGCATTGTGGGACTTCTGGCTTGTTTATAGCTACTGGCTATCACAAAAAAGGTTGCCATGAACATAGTGGTATACATGCCCCTGTGGGTTGGTGGAGCATCTTTTAGGTATATAACTAAGAGCAGTATAGCTTGGTCTTTAGGCAGAACTCTTTCCCCATATTAGCAAACCTCGAGAGTGATTTCTAGAGTGATTGTAACCACTTGGAATCCCACCAACAATGGAGGAGTGGTCTATTTCTCCATATTCTCTACCACATGTGCTGTAACTTGAATTTTGTATCTTAGTCATTTTGATTGATGTGATGTGGATTCTCAGTGATGTTTTGATTGGCAATTCTCTCATCACTAAGGACTCTGAATTTCTTTAAGTGCATCTTGGCAATTCAAAATTCCTCTTTTATGAACTCCTTGTTTAGTTCTATACCCCATTTTTGATTGGATTGTTTGATTTTGTTTTTGTTTTCTTTTTTGGAGGTGAGCTTCTTGAGTTCTGGAACACAATGAAAGCAGTGCTAAGAGAAAAATTCATAGCACTAAGTGCCCTGGAAAAGAAATTTCAGAGACCCTACACTAGCTACTTAACTGTACAATTGAGAACTCTAGAAGAAAAAGAAGCAAACACACTCAAGAGGAGTAGACTGCAAGAAATAATCAAACTTGGTGTGGAAATCAACCAAATAGAAACAAAGAGAACAATACAAACAATCAAGAGAACTAGAAGCTGGTTCTTTGAGAAAATCTACAAGGTAGACAAACCTCTAGCCTACGTAAAGGGCCCAGATACAGTATGCAAACTAAAAAAAATCAGAAATAAAAAGGGAGACGTAACAACAGAAACTAGGAAAATTCAAAAAATCATCAGATCCTTCAACAAAAGCCTATACTAAACAAAACTGGAAAATCTAGATTAATTGGGTGATTTTCTAGACAAATACAACATACTGAGTTATATCAAGAGCAGGTAAACTATCTAAGCAGGCTGATATTCCTTAAGGAAATAGAAGACATTCAAAACTTGCAACCAAAACCAGCCCAGGGCCAAATGGCTTTAGCGCAGAATTCTACCAGAGCTTCAAAGAACATGTAATACCAACACTCCACAAACTATTTTTTAAATTAAAACCAGAAGAAATACTACCTAATTACTTATATGAAGCCACAATTACTCTGATATCTAAACCACATAAGGACTCAACAAAAAAAGAGAACTTCAGACCAATTTCTTTTATGTATCTCAATGCAAAAATGCTCAAAAAATTCAAGCATATTGATTCCAAGAACAAGTCAAAACTATCATTCACCATGAGCAAGTAGGCTTCACCCCAGGGATGCAAAGTTGGTTCAAGATATGAAAACCCATTAACGCAATTCACTATATAAACAAATGTGAGAAAAAAATCACATGACCATCTTTTTAGATGCAGAAGAAGGATTTGACAAAACACAACACCCCCCCCCTTTAAAAGTAATTGAGAGATCAAGAATTCAAGGCACATACCGAAGCATAATAAAAGCAATATACAGGAGTAATATAGCTAGATCCTCAGGAACTGTGGATGCATGGCTTTTCTTTTATTTTCTCTTTTGTGGGGGGTATTAGAAGGGGCAACTTTATTAATTTCAAATAAGAAAGTAATTTAAAATTTTTTATTAGACATACACAGAAACGTTTGTTAGATTTCTGTTTTCAATTACTTGAGGCTGTTGCGACTTAAAATCAAAATGCTCCATCTTTCAGTTCACACCTCTTCCTCTATCCCAGAAGCCTGCAACCATCAGGGACCACCAGCTCTACCTGCATTCTTGGAGGACTACCGACTACAATGAACAAGAGCCAGAGCAATATGGCACGAGCACAAACCAACTACCTTACTGTGGGACAATGGACCATGCCAGAAAACTTGGTAAAGTAGAGCAGGTCTGGGACACCAGAAACTCAAGTACACAACTGAGATGGTAGGCTCCTTATTGCTCCATTCTAGATTCCTGACCTGGAATACATGCCATACACCCCATGCCATTCATGTAGCATAGCCCAAAACTGAGTTCTCCATGCTAATGAAGTAAATAGAGGCCCTGAAAGTTTAGCCAATAAGCTTCTTTTTCCAAACATTCCTCCTTGAAAAAAAAGTATTTAATCTCTGATCCACCCTGAGAGATTGAGAGATTGGTAAGCATCCATTTTTTTATGATGAACAACCAATAAACATTTTGGAACCAACAACTGTCTCTTTCATCAAGAACCACCATAAGGAACATGGAAAAGGCTTTGCCTACAGATCCACAACCTAAATCTCCCATAAAAGGCTCTCTGCACTTCCAATCAATTGTCACCAAGCTAAGGGCAGTCATCAATGAGA